ACAAACATTCTCTTTACTGGAAAGAATCAAAGGCAGCTGAGGTGTCTTCTTGGCATATGGGCTGTTCTTAGGAGAAAAACAAAATGATGGTAATGTATAGCCAAACAATTGGCCCCAAAATGGGACTTGAAGGCGGGGGGTCCTGGGTATAGAAATGCTGAACACTATTCTTGAGTGGGCTTGTATTATACATTATTTCTGGTGTGTGAGTGGGGAGGAGCAAGTAGAGGGACATCCCTAGTCCTTGTCTTCACAACCTCTTTACAGGAGCTACTGTCAAGCAGGAGGTCTTCTCAAGGCAAGAAGATGTCTTCAGGATGACTTCAGTACCAGAGGATACATTCTCTCCTGAATCTCCACTTCTCTCCTCCTCCTCCTTCAGCTGGGCATTCCTGCATCCAACATTTTTCCTTAGATATGCCCAAGTCCCTTTCTCTTCAAAGTGAACTGCTATTGCTTTGCAGCTTCTCAGATGCCCAGCTACTACATCTCTTCCTCTCCACCTTCACCTTTAAGACTTTTTACAGCAGTTCATTTGTCTATCAAGCCACCTTGCAGCAATTCTTCCAGGAACTCAGGCAGAACAACTTCCTGATCCTTTACAGTGGAAATACCAAGGCTTGAACCTAGGTCCTTCTGCCCCTGGTAAAGCCTGGGCTCTACCATTGACCTGTGGTACAAGACTGAAAGGTGCGAGATGTTCACAGCCTAGTAAGAGAAGATCTGCTCCCATCACTCAGTGGCAACCTGGGGCTCATTGTACACACCCAGTTCCTCATTCTCCATCCTTGGAGAAAAATACTGCTCTCCTGAGTGATACACCAAGGAGTGGAACCATCCAGTTGTCAGCTGTTGATGGAATGCAACATGGTTAGATAGCCAGTAGGGTACCCAGGAGAGGCAACTGATCTTCTCAAGATGGGCAGGAGAAACCTGATGTCACTGTGTTTTCTGACTTCAGGGCAGTCACTTTGGGGATCCATCAGGATCAAATCAGAAATACAATGAAGCACTCTTTGTAGGTCTGGGACATGGGACAAATTCCGTCTGTCTTTGTTTGGGGCACTATTACTCCATGCCTCTGAGGCCTTGGGGTAGTTTCTCTCAGCTACAACTGGGACTCTGTCCTAGCAATAGGAATAAACCCCAGGAACCTCTTGTAACCTCCTTTCTCTCATATGACACATTACAAGCTTTCTTGTATGGGGATGAGGGTGGATGTGGAAGACAGCATTTCAGTAGGCTTGAGATGCAATAAATCTAGAAGCTCATCACTACTCAATTACCACAGGACCACCAGGGGCCAGATAAAGCTAAGAGAAACAGAAGACGATGTGAGCCTTATAACACTTGTGATTGATGCAACAATCATTTACTAGAATTTATTTCTTCTAGCCTTTCCCCCTAGGGATGAATAAACACATTATTCGCTTTTTCTTTCTTTTTTGCCTTCGGTGGGGGGCTTCAGGAAGAATTTTGGTTTTTTACCAATTCCAATAGGAAGCCACCTGATCCACAACTGGTGGACTAGTGAGTGAACTGAAACTTATCTTACCCATCAATCTGGTTTGGTTTGGTTGGTTTTTAAAAAATGTATCAATGTGCATTTCCAAACATGTCTTTGGAGCAAAACAGCATGCATTTAAATACAATTTAAATGAAAAATGTCCTGCTATTTTTTGAAACACAGAATCTAATTTTCCTGAGTTCCAAAGCCCCAATCCTGCCTATCCATTTTTCCCCTTTTTCCTTGCCTAACAGAGCATTCTATAACTGAGCAGATTTTTTTTCCCTGAGAAAATATCTGGTATTTCTTTTCCTCCTAGTCCCAGATCTAAAGTCCCAATATAGAAGTATCCTGGAATATTTTGTCTGATATTCCCCCAATTATCTCCACAATTGTCATCATACTTGGGGGGCAGTCATTCTGTCCTACCTAGTCAACATGGGTAATATCCTAAATTAACTCAAATTTTCTCTAAGAACCGAGGGCTTGCCATCTGCCATTAGCTTTCAACTGGGAGAAGAAAGATTCATGTTCTGCCAACATCTACCTTACTATTGCTTACTCATTTCTTTTCTTCCCACTATTACAGGCTGTTTCAGTTTTATTTTGGCTTTCTCTCAGTCTTGCTCTTGAGTTGTTGGCATTACCTGTAGCAGAGGGCACTACTTCTGTTCTTGTCTTCTGTCCCACATCTTTTCATCACTCTGCAGCCTCCTTGGCTGCTCAGCCTTTCATCTTGTCTTCCCTTGGAATTGCATGCAAGTTTGGGAGAAGCCAGGAAGGCTGCAGATGGTTGGAGGGATGAGGGCACAACAAAGGACAGGAAATTCACACATACCCCTTCTCATTGCATACATGAGAATGTCTCTGAAATGTTCTCCTTGTAAGTTTCCAGAGCAAATGTCCTTTCATCAAATGGAGTGCAAACTGAGGGAGGGGGGAATATAGGGGACTTTTTAAAATCTGAATTAACCCAGATGAGATTAATGCACAGCCTGGAAACAAAAGAAACCCTGAGGTTATCTCTTCACAAGTATCTTCACTGCACCTCCATAGGTCCACTTGTTCCTGCAATTAGACAGCCTCTGCCACTGCATCTTCTATGTGACTGTGCCAATTATTCACTGCCCTCTTTGTTGTCCCCAGTAAAAATGTATCATTAAAGAATTTATGATAGCATCAAGACCATATCGTAGTCAGCCCAGTTTGGCTTTGTGGTCTTAATTTCCTTAGATTGCAAGGGACAGCTGCCTACAGTAAATCAAATCCCATAAAATAAGTTGCCAAGCATCATTTATGTTGTCTGCCAGGCTGAGATGCTGACATTTAAGGACAGCGGCAAGTATTACCTGAATAACACTTTGTGCAAACCATTTTCCCCCCTTTCTCCTGCTCAGTCATATTGATTTCCCCAGTTGTTATCATAATCCCTTCCTTAGTTATGGTATCTTTTATCCTGCTTTTCATTAAAAAAAAAAATTACAACAATAAACAGAGTAAAATATAGAATAAAACCTGTTTTAAAGAAACAGTAATACCAGCCATTTAGATAAAAAGTAAACAGCAATTAAAGCAAGGGATAAAATCACAGAAAGGCCTGGCTGATAGATTAAGTGCGCAGTGAAAACACACCACAGCAGGGGACCTAGCTAACCTTTGGAAAGATTATTCCTGAAAATGCACACCATTTCAGAGAATGTCCCTCCCCTGGATCCACAGATGAGTGACTATCAGCAGAGCAGTTTGGTTAATAGGGCATCTATTCCAGAGCCTATAGACTGGACAATCCTGTACTGAAATTGGCAACTTCTTATATTCCTGGCCCTGAGCTGTTTAGAATCATATATACCAGTGTTTCTCAATCTTGGCAACTTTAAGGCATGTGGACTTCAACTCCCAGAATTCCCCAGCCAGCCATGGAGGAGTTGAAGTCCACATGCCTTAAAGTTGCCAAGGTTGAAAAACACTGATATAGACAATATGGCTTGAAAATGGCTTAGTATCTACCGGAAGTCAGCCCAGATGTTTTAACACCCTATTCTGGCCATTCCCTCTCTTTTTCCATGCAGGATTAGTTCTTCAAAGAGTCTCAATCAGTCAAGGATAATTGAATGAGTGGAGGATATGACAAAATGATGAGACTAAGAGGATTTGTCTATGGGGTGATAGCAGTAAAGTCAAATGAAGTCCCTTCAGGCTAGAAAGAGGACATTGGAGTTCAACTCACACATCAGATTTGGACAGAACATCATATTCACTTACAATATTGCATCAAAGTTACATCCCCTGCTTTCCTTTTCTCCTTCCATATGCAAAATAAGAGTTTCATGCTTGAGAAGGGAGGCAGTTAAGGTATTCCAAAGAATCCTCATTTTACCATCTGCTCAAGCTAAGACAGAAATCAACATGGAGTTATCCTTCAGGATGAGTCTTTCTCGGAGCATTTCTGCCACGTTCATCTCTTAATGCTGTGTTGTCCAACCTGGGCCACTTTAAGATGTGTGGATTGAACTCCTAGAATTCCCCAGACAGCCATGCTGGCTGGGGAATTCTGGGAGTTGAAGTCCACACATCTTAAAGTGACCAAGGTTGAGAAACACTGTCCTAAGGCATTCTTTCTCTGAGAACGTGCTGTTAAGAGGACAGTTTTCTTGAGTTATTCTTGCACTCTGGCCTAGCCCATTGTGAAAATAACAGCCAGGACCTTGGGCCAGAGTTCTGTAAGCAAAACCCTAGGCTGGGCAAGAGTTCAGTGGGGTGACTTGATTCAAAAGTGATTCAGAGCAGATCTGAAAAGGGGAGCAAGGGGGTGCTTTTAGTTACCAAAGGGGCTAAGACAGTGATGGTGAACCTATGACACGTGTGTCAAAGACGACACAGCATGTTTTGGGTGACATGCCAGCACTCACCAACACCCAGCAACAACTATTCTCCTTGTGTGAGTTACCCAAGAAACTAAGTTTGTTTTACATGTAGTTCATTTCTGTAATTACTTGACATTTCTTCATATAATACATAGCACTGCATATGATTGGACTGAATTTCTTTTAAATAAATGAATATGTAAATAATGGTTTCTCCTTTGTTTAGGGGGGTGTGACACGCCAGCAGAGTTAGGTATTTTCTGAATCTGTGACATGCCGAGCCCAAACGGTTCACCATCACTGGGCTAAGAGCTCCTTTGCCACAGCCCACGCGCAGAAACCACTTTGCTTTAAGCGTTGTGTCAGATTGCGTGGTCCCCAGTGATCCAAGTGGATTGTACCCCTTCTGCATTGATCTACTGGTACATCCTAAATGCTTATACATCTATGAACGTGTGGAATCCAGTCTGGGTCCCTGCTGGGCAAGTAACCGACCGAAGAATACTCACATTTTCCGACCGAAGCTTCTTGGCGGGACAGCCTCCATCAATCGGGTGGAGCATGTAGTAAAGCCGAACTTTGCTTGCATGTTTA